TATTAGATTTTTTTTTTTTTATGAAAACTGTGATACTCTAAAGCATTATTTTACATTCTTTGATAAAATATATAAGATGGAATAAAGACTATTTTAAACAGTTGATGACAAGACACCTGCAAAAGTTTACATAAACATATTGTTACTGTGTACTTTCCTGATAGCAACGTTGAGAATCAGAAAAACAACAACTGACTTTAACAACCACATTTATATATTGACTCAGAACTCTAGTGTCTGAGCCAAAACTCTAACCACTGTGCCCGCAGCTGCTATAAAACTTAACATTAATTATTAGAACATGATACTTATTATACGATATGCCTACAAATTATCATGGAATATTGACTCAACCATACTTCTTCAAATTTTTTTTTGCATTAGACTCTATATCTAAGCTTATACCATAGTCACAAGAATAGATAGTCTGGAAGCGCACAATAGCTTATTATATTATCTCTTTGTACCCGAAAAAACTAGAACCCAGATCTTTCGGAATGCAAAACATTAAAAAAATAAAAATAATTTCGTTCAGATCATAGTCACAAGAAAAGATTCTTGTTACAATGTTCAGATAAGTTTAGTTTTGCGTCGAATAATCGTGCTTGTTACAATTTATAAATTCTTTTCATTATTCTAGTTGTCGAAATTTGTATCGTTGGTTTAACTTTTTAGAGACTGAAATTTTTATCATAAGTTTAAACTTCTAGAGATAAAAAAAAATATTATTTCAGTTACAATTTAGTTTATTAAACGTGTTTAATATACTAGAGTGGAGCTGAAATCAGTTTGAATTATCATGCCCGGAGCAAACTGCGCAGTATATGGCTGTGGAAGTAGTAGGTATAAAAAAAAGGAGAAGATACAGTTAGTATTTTTAAACTTCCAAACCCAAATAGAAGCGAACTTTTCTCAAATTGGAATAAAGAAATACTGAGAATCATCACAAGAGATAGAGTTGTATCCCTTGATTTTAAAAAACAAATCAAAAAGAATAGAGTTTATATATGTGAAAAGCATTTTGAATATTCAGATATATACACCTGTAAGTGTGCTTAATAAGTGTTGATATTTATTGAGTACACATATACATTACTTTTATTATAATTTTATGATAGGTTGAATTACAGACAGTAAACCAAATACTATTTAACAAATTCTTTTTAATTATTTTTCAGATTAACATAAAAAAGAATTAAAAGAATTTGCACTTCCATCAAAAAACTTACCAAAAAAAAGTTTATCTGAAGATCTCACTGTGCATCGTTAAAAAAACAGCACTTGACAAACGAGCTATGGCTTTAGCATTACACAATAGTAAAAAAGTAGTTAAAAATTAATTTAAAATGATTTTGAACAGTTTCTTAAAAAAATTAAACTAGTAGCATTTACTACATGGATTGTTGAAACTTCACAAAACTATGTATTATTTAAAGTTATCGATGGGAAACATTTAATACCAGAAAATTGAGGATGAAAGATGTGATGATGGTCCTACATATGAATCAGTGTATTTCAGATTTTCTACATGCAGTATTCTACAAACTGAGTCAAGCATTTGTAAAGAATGTAAAATATTAACTATAAATAGTAGCAAAGCCATTAATGCAAAAAAGAAAATCTTAAAAACTCCAGCTAGTATTAAAGCCCCTGTTAAATATACTGCGCCTGAAAGATTACTTCTTACTTTCCAAAATCAAAGATCTGAAAACAGATATTTAAAAAAGCAAATTTTGGAACTCAGGCAAGCCATTGAAAAAAATGCAGTATCAGTTGGAGAAAACATCCATCAAGATCTTCAAAAAATTATCAATAGTTTCTCAGTAAAGGTAAATTAAAATAGAGAAATTCCGTCTTTCATGAAATTATTCCTTTCAGAACAGTTAAAATATTTAACAGAACATCCATCTCAAACATGATACCATCCAATGGTAATAAACTACTCTTTAGCTTTGTATGCAAAATTTCCAGCTGCATATGATCTTCTGCATTTACAAAAAGGTGGAAAAGGTATACTTGTTTTGCCTTCTCAAGGCACTTAAGAGACTATAGAAACTACATCAAACCACAAAGGGGTTTTAATAGTCAATATGTTCAGGAGCTTGCTAAATTAGTTTCAAACTTTTCAGCACTTGAACAATACATTATACTTTCTTTTGATGAAATTAAATTTCAAAATGACCTTGTGTGGGATGAGCACACAGGTAATTTGATTGGTTTTGTGGATCTTGGTGACGATGATTCTTACCCAGGCAACTTTTGAAAAAACTGATACTTTAGCTTCACATATTTTAGTTTTTTTTATTAGAAGTGCAATGAATCCCTTATATTATGCTTTTGCAAGTTTTGCTACTGATAGTATTACGTCATTCCAGAATTTTCCAATATTTTGGCATGCTGTTGCAATATTAGAAAGAACATGTAAATTAAAAGTTATAGCTGTGACTTGCGATGGAGCTTCACCTAATCATGCATTTTATAAAATGCATATGAATAATGACAACAAAGCAAATGGTATAACATATCGCACAAAAAATATTTATGCAAACGATGAACGATATATATGGTTTTTTTCTGATCCTCCTCATCTTATCAAAACATCAAGAAACTGTTTGAGCAACTCTGGATCTAACTGTTGTTCAAGATATATTTGGAATAATGGCAAATATATTCTCTGGAGTCATATTGCTAAGTTTTACTATGAAGATATAGAATGTAATTTAAATTATTTTCCTAAACTTACTCGAGACCATATAATATTAAATGCATACTCTGTTATGAATGTAAAATTAGCAGTTCAAATTTTAAGTGCTACAGTTGGCAATACATTGCTTGAATTTGGGCCAGGTGAAGTTTTTGAGACAGCAAATTTCTGTCTGTTAATGGATAAATTTTTTGATTGCAATGTCACAAACACTAAAGAGCACATCAAAAATTGTAAAGTATTTTTGAAACCTTTTTGATACCGATTGTTCAGATGAAAAGATTTACTGGTTAAAAAACACTTTTCTAAAATATTTTGTAGACTGGAGGGAAAGCATAGAAAAAAGGCCAGAAAAATTATCTAAAAAAGAACTTAATAAAATGTTCATATCAAATCAGACATTTGAAGGTCTATCTAGAATGGTAAACTTCTTAGTTGAATGCGTTCAATACTTACTAAGCAAAGGATTTTTATGTATTAATTGAAATATTTTGTCAAGACGCATTGGAGAACTACTTTGGTAAGCAGAGAACTATAGATTGCAGTAGGGTTAATCCTAACCTTAAAGACACTGGATACAATGATAATATCATAAAATCTCAATTTACAATTCAACCCCTAGGTGGAAATGTTAGACAGCATACTAATGAATGGGTAATTGATGATACACCGGTTCCCAAGAAACTTAGAAAAAATAAATTAACTTAATTTAATTATAATCTTTTTTTTTGGAAAACCTTATTTCATAAAGCATTTTTTTAATTAATTTATCAGTAGATATTATTTGTCTTCCCCAAAATTACTGTTAGTTTATTTAAAAATCAAATTTTACTAAAACCTATATTATAACTTAACTCTTATTACTGATAAAAGCCTATACTTTTAAAATTTTAAAGAATGTCATACATTATTATGTAAAGAGAAAAAACACAACATTTGATTAAAATAAATTGATTAAAATAATAAATTAATAAAAATATTTGTTCTAACCAATAATGTAAGTATTTTAATTTGTAGCTATGAAAATAGCTGTTTGATAAGTATTATAAACTGGAACTCTAATACTCTTATAAATATGGTTTTTCTTTACATCTGCATAGATTGATAAAATACTGATGAGAGGAAATATGATTGTAAATCTCAGCCATTGCAAATATTTTTCTTGATCTTATTTGATTTTTTTAATGATGATTGTAAAGATTCTGCTTTTGTTATTTTTTTTTTGTTTTTGAATTTTTCTTTTATTTGATTTGTGTGTGTATGTGAACGAACATGAATAAAAAGCATCACTATATGATATAATAAAGTTTTAGCAATTTCTTTGTCTATTTCTGTTTCAGGAAGGTTACATATTTGATAAAAGCAGGACTTGACAAAACAGTTATTTAATAATTGTGAAACCAGTATTTTACTGTCAATTTTTCTAAAATTTACGCTAGTATGTATTCTAAATTTTTTTTCACATTCACTAAAAATATTTATTACTAGTGTATTCATTTTCCACAATCCACCTCTATCTCTACTATCTACAAGTTTTTGTTCCTCTTGAGTTTTTGATGAAAGTATAATATCAAGCCATTGTCCAGACATTGTAACATCGTTAATTTTTTTATTCCTCAACTTAGAGTACAGTTTTTGAAATACATATATAGATTCAACTTGTAAATACTCAGATTCAGTGACAACCGTTTTTTAAAATTTCTCGATCTTCATTACAAAAACAAACATCTGTTGACAGTTTATGTCTTGCGTTAGTCAATAGATCTCTGAATTGTGTACCTTGATAGATGATTGTGTATTTTTATTTAAATCAACTGATTCACTACCGACAACCTTGATAAGGTTGTCAGTAGGCACAAATTCTTTGTGCTTAGAGTTTATATGCCTTTTCAGACCACTAGTTGTTTTGAATACCTTCTAGCAATCACTACAATTTAAAGTCTCTTTACATTCTTCTAAAGCTGCTGTTTCGATTTCTTGATAAAATGAATCGCTTTTAAACTGATCTGTTTCGATCAAACTCAAAAGAACTTGCGATTCTCCACTTTCCATGATTCACTATAATGTTTGTTTTGCACTTTCAGCAGGCCGAAAGTACAATTTTGACATAAAAATTCAAAATCAATTGTTATGGCCCGTGTTTCCAAACTATCTATTTTTGTGACTATGTTTATACACAGCGTATGTAAGCAATTATTCACCATATGTAAACAATTGCATGCATACAATGTTACAATTAAAAAGCTGAAAACAAAAAAAGTTGACCTTCAATAACCACACAAAACATACAACTAACCGGAGTTATTTTTAAATCTGAGATGACATCATCAAAGTAGTGATATTCTGATAGCTCCAATGACACCATATTGTTTTTTAGCTCAAGAATCCTAAAAAAATGAATCAAGTATCCTAAAAAAACGAACTAAGTATCCTAAAAAATGTCACTAAGTTTGTTATATTTAGTGAAAAATGTCACAAAGTTTGTTATACTTAGTGAAAAAGTTAAGTAAACAAAATATTACTATATATGTATAAAAAAAAACTTTAAAATTTAATTATTAAAAATGATGCAAAAACAGAAAAAAATGTATAAACATAAATGCACTATATAAAAGATGGTTGTAAGCAATGAATGCAGCTAACAATTGAAAGTGGATGATATGATAGATGTAGGCCAACAGTTGAAAGTTGATGATGTGATAGATGTAGGCTAACAGTTGAAAATTGATGATGTGATAGATGTAGGCTAACAGTTAAAAGTGGATGATGTGATAGATGCAATTAAAAGTGGATGTTGTGATAAATGCAGGTGGTGTATGTAGACCATGGATGTAAACATTTGATCTATAGGGTTGTAGATAATAGATATTGTGAAAAAGAAAAAGTCAAATTACATTGTCAACCATATTACCACTATCAACCTATGGGGTAAATAGGGCAATAATTATATGATAATGACAGTGTACATCAAATATTACCATCAAATTTACAGTTTAATTAATTCAAATTTAATCAGTTTTTGTATTTTAATATTTTTAAAATTCAGCACCAAAAACTTAACATTTTGGAAATAAACTGCATGTTAATTAATGAGTGTGTAGAAAAGAAAATTAAAGTGAAAATAATAGTCTAAAATAAGATTTTGTAGAATGTCACATGATACAGTATATGGCCATGGTACTGTACATGGATATAATACTATATATGAACATGGTAATGTATTCATATATATGTCCATAATTAAAATTTTAATTTTTTGAGTGTGTAATCAAAAACCATCAATCAAATGAAGTCTGGAAATATTCGATTTGTAATTTGTAATTTTTTCGATTTATAATTTGATTTCAATTTCATTTGTAATTTGATTTAATAACCGATAATAACGGATATTATTAAAATAAGTTAAGCATTAATTTTTCAAGAGTGTGGTGGTGGTGCAAGGTTTAAATTCTTTACCTATCGGTTATGAAGTGAGCACCATATCAGTACGCTGTTAACTTGTTACATGTTTACACTTTTCAGAATTTGAAAGTCCCAAACCTTAAAACCTGAAATTTTGAAAGTCAAAGCCTACTATATTTACAGTTGTAAATCTTAAATTTTTAAGAGGGAAATTAAGAGGTAGGTTTTTATAATTTTTGATACAAAAAATTAAAAAAATACTCTTTTAAAGGGATACCCAAGTGCTGAGACAAGTTGTGTTCGTATTAAAGAAAATGGTAAAAAAAAAAACAATTGAGTTAAAGTTTTTTGATTAAAACTAAATAATAAATGCATATCAATAAAACTTAAATTGTTGTTTTGTTCAAAGCTCATCTTTTTATTTTTGGTTCTCTAAGTCTCGATAATATATGCTGCAATCTGCAGACTTAATTTCATGCACATTTGATTCATAAAAGTTTCAGTATATGACATCATTGCATTTTTTGCATGACAATCAGAAAATCATATTTATTTGCATAATTTTTCACTAATTAAAAATAAAACAATATATTTGACTTTTCAACCATCAGGATTATATTTAAATTAATGTATCTTTTATAAGAGATATTTATAAAAATATATAAGTTTATATATTCGCTCTATTTTTTTAAAATAAGTGTTACTTGTTGACCATATGAAATAAAGTTAAATACATTATTTTTTCCTTTTTTAAAATAAGTAATACAAATTTTACAGAATAAATTTGATATAATATATTCTTATACAGATTAGTGTAATCTGCAGATTCTGCAGAATATTTATTTTAAGCGCTATTAATTCATTTTTGTATATGTCCTCATCATATAATTTTTTTTTCAAAATATTGTATTATTTTTTTATGTTTATTTGTATAAATTTTTATCATGTTTATTTGTATAAATTTTTACCAAATCCCAAAAAAATTTACAGACTTTTATTAAGTCTGTAGATTGTGATGTATATTATAAAGACTTTGAAAACCAAGAAAAAATGGAGAAGACAGGCTTCGAATAAAACAAAAATTTTAGTTTTATTGATATGCATTCATTATTTATTTTTAATCAAAAAAAATTTAGCCCAAACATTTTTTTTTTTACATTTTTTTCAATATGAACACAACTTGTCTTACACTTAGGGATTCCTTTAAAATTTATTCTTCTTAAAGAACTTACTAACTTTTAAAGAAATTATATTAAAAATGTTCAATAAACATGCTGCAACAAATCTATTTCTAATTATCTATATCTAAGCAACAATCACGAGCAACATTTTGTTTTCCAACCAATATTTTATCAACTTTTGATTTCAACAAAACTTTTTTTAAATTTGATTTTATCAAAATGTTAATTAAAAAATTGACAAAATATTCTTTAGATCTTATTTCAACAAAACTTTGTTTAGATGAATTGACTCATAAAACTCTAAATTGGTGCATGAAACCTTGAATTGGCTCATAAAACCTGTATTCCACTTATTTTTGCGATGATTTGCAAAAAACATCTTTACTAGAGACTTCATCTTTACTAGAAATTTCTTGAAATCTTCTTGTGAAGAAAATTTAACAAAAAGACTAATTAAAAACATTTAAGAAAAATGATATTTAGAAGTTTCAGTAGCACTACCTGGATTTCAATTTAAACAATTAAAAAAATGTTTTTTTTAATGTTATTCACTTCCCTAAGGCCAAGAGGGCCACTACAGTCGAGGTTGTATTTGCAATTTTGGTTTATTTTTTTTTCTTTATCTCTTTTTAAATGTTTTTAATTGTCATTGGAATTATATATTTTAATTGTTATTGAAATTATATTGTAATGTTAATGGAAAGCGAATCTTTTGATAGTTTTTTTTAAGAAACATATTTTGATGACCAAATGACAGAAATCGCTATAGATTGAATTTTATTCTATTATGATTAACTAGATCCCAAATTTTATAGGTCCAAAATTTTATAGGTCTGAATTTTATAGGTCCAAAATTTTGTAGGTCTGAAATTATATAGGTCTAAAATTTTATAGGTCTGAAATTTTATAGGCCTGAAATTTTATAGGTCTGAAATTTTATAGGTCTGAAATTTATTCTATTGTCATTAAATTAAATACAAAATGGCACTACAGACATGTTTTGCTGTCTGGATGGAACAAATAATCTAACACATAAGATAAGAGAGATTATGAGAGATATTTTTAGGATTACAATTTCTAATATTCAAATAGGTTCTGCAGTTTTTTCTTTTCTAAGAAAGGTAAAAAAAAATTTAAAGGTAAAAAGAATTTCTATTGCAATAACTAGTTGCAACTTATTAGTTATTGCAACTTTTTGTAACTTAGTTATTGCAAATTATTAGTTGCAACTTTTTATAACTTAGTTATTGTAACTTATTAGTTGCAACTTTTTGTAACTTAGTTATCGCAACTTATTAGTTGCAACTTTTTGTAACTTAGTTAATGTAACTTATTAGTTATTGCAACTTTTTGTAACTTAGTTATTGCAACTTTTTCACTGTTATAAACCAGCAATTTTTTTCTTCAATTATCAAACAACTGATCAAGAATATTCAAGGAAGGATGAGTATCTAAGAATCTTTTCAGAAGCTTTTTAATTAAAGATTAACATTACAAGATTCTATCTGAATATAAAATTTAAAACAAAACTTCCACAAGTTGTGGAACAACTGTTGTGACAACAAGTACTACTTGAACCCGTTGAGTGACTACAAATGCTGATGCAGTTTGAGATCTAGCTCTCCATCTTTAATCTAAAATATTGTCATTATTTCCTAATTTAGTATTTCTAATATAAGAAAAAAAAACTTACAGCATACTAATTTTTTTATTATGTTTTGCCTTTAACAAAACAAGTTGGTAATGGAAGCGGTGTCTCATTGTACTGCAAGCGCGCATTCATATCTGCATTAGTTGTTGTTTGAATATAGTTAGAAAGTAATTTTGATTACTTTGTTTAAGTTTTTGCTTGCTTCATGAGCAAGAAGCTCCAAGCTTGATCCCACATCCTTGGCAGTACCACATCCTTGGCAGTACCGCATTCAACTTATTTTTCTGTGCAGCAGTCTTGTTTTTCAAGGATTATATTTTGGAATTAAAGAGATGAGAGAAGGCTGTAACACAACAGTGTCCTCAATAAAGTTATGTAACTTGTATAGCCTATGCTTAATAGCATAGAATATACATAAATATAGATATATATTATTATTTATTAAATAAAGTAATACTTAATCATGTTAATGCTTAAATATATTGCTTTCCATTTAAGACAAGCCCTACAAAGTTTATAGTACTTAAAAACAGGATAAAATGTAACAAAAATTTATTTGTCAAAATAATATTTATAATAGAAATGAGGCTGGAATGTTTTAATTCAAAGCCTAAAAAAGCAAATTGAAGACATACACGGGTTTGATTAGATGTTTTTGATTATAGGTTTGTGATAACAGATTTTGATCAAAGATTCTAATTTCAAGATTTAATAACATATTTAATTTTTATTTAGACTAAAAGCACCACGAAAACCTTGCCAGTTTAACCATATTTCTAAAAGAATGATAGACAAATGAAAAAGATTTTAAAAAAGACTGATTTTTTAAAGTCAAGACAAGATTTTTTAATAACAGATTCAACTGAATGAAGAGTTTTATTTTATAAAAAAAGTATTTAGTATGTGTGTGTGTGTGTGTGTGTGTGTGTGTGTGTGTGTGTGTGTGTGTGTGTGTGTGTGTGTATATATATATATATATATATATACATATATATATATATATATATATATATATATATATATATATATATATATATATTTATGTATATATATATATATACATACATTCATATATATGTATCTGTGTATACATACATACATGCATATATACATACATATGTATATGTGTGTGTATACAACTATATATATATATATATATATATATATATATATATATATATATATATATATATATATATATATATATATATATATATATATATATATATATATATATACAAATATATATATATATATATATATATATATCAGTCTTCTCAGTTTAAAATTTAACGCCAACACACTAAAAAGCGCTGGCCAGACAGTAATTATTTGTCATGCATGCTTGATTTTAAAAAATATATATTTTTTGAAGCTTTTTAGTTAAAATTTGATTAATAAAAAAAAATTTATTGCAATTTAAAAAAGTGCTTGAAACTTTTTTAGCGAGTGCTTAAAAAAGCACCAGAAGTATTATTGGCAGGCGTGTGGGCAAGCGCAAAACTGCAACGTTTGATGAGCGTGAAAGCGCTCATCAAACGAAGAAGACATACATACATATATATATATATATATATATATATATATATATATATATATATATATATATATATATATACATATATCTGTGTGTCTATATATCTGTGTGTGTGAGTGTGTGAGTGTGTATATGTATATATAAATATTTAAAAAAAAAAAACTGACCTCCCCATAACACCATCAAGAACTTTTCGAATAACCAACAACTTTTGTGGGTGAACAATCTTTACAAACAAATTTATATGTACGCTTTTAGACAAACATAATCTTTTTACATAAAAACTTTTGCTATTATTAAATAGATTTTTTGATATAATTTTGTAATTTTTACTATTATTTTTTTAGTTTGTGAATTAAGAAAACTACTTAATTTATAAAAACTATTGAGCTATTCAAAAATTTACCTGGTCATAACACTCTTCAAGTTTTCGAAAAATTGTGATATATTTAACATAAATGACAGCCAAATTCTGGAAGGCAACAAGACGATCCTAATATAATGAAGTTATTAAAAAATATTAACTTATTATAGTTTATTGAACAACAATAAATACAATTAAAAAAAAAACTTTGAAAACATTTTATCTTTCCTCTTTAGCAGCAGGATAAATAGAAGCAACCTTATAGAGTGTTCTTAAATTATGTAGTGCAACTTTCAAAGAGCAATTACAATTCACAATCACAACAAAAAAATTAATAAATCGAAATTTTTATAGCATTTATCATATAGTAATTAAAAGACAAATTAAATGCATACTCAGTAAAAAATTAATAAATAAATAAGATTAGTTAGGGTTAAAATTTACTAGCCACTGTTGCTGTATGAGAAGAGGTTACTTCAAGATCAGCTGTCTGCCCTAAGCAACCAAATCATTCCCAGTAGCCCCAGAGGCTACTGGAAATAAAGAAGCCAAAAATTTAATAATTTTTAAAACTTAGAAGATTAAGCATATCTCAAGTGTAAGGACCCTTGTCTTATTGCTTTCATATAATGAATGATAGAACCTTTTTTTAATCTAGTTAATTAATCAGCACAAGCGGAAATCAAACCCATATTGATTGTCATAGTAAAATGTTAGACCAAGAAAAAATATTAGAAAAACGCTAATTAATGATTTAAAAACTTTGCTAATAAAAGAAAAAAAAATAAATGAGTGATAATTAGAAGGATCAGAGTGCTCTCCAGACCAGAGCTTTTTAAAAAAAGTACTCCAATGTTCCAGCAAACAGGAAAACAAGAGTTGCTTTAGAAAACAAAAATTAAAATTAGAAACAGCACTTGCACAAAAAGAAGAAAGCTGAGCATGCCAGGCTTTTACTTAAAACTAACAAGAAAGAAAACCTTAAAAAATTTATTACTAAGTTGAGCGTTTATTAACTATTGTATAATTATTTAAAACACATAAAGGAAGAATAAATAAATGACTATGAATAAAAAATTAAATTTAAAAAACCTTTTCTGGTTTTTCCTGCTCTAAATCGACATCTAAAATATCCTTGATAGATGCTTGAGCATCATGCCACTGACGATCATATCCTCTAAAATCAAAATCTTTACAAAACAACCTTTTAAAAGCTGTGCTATATATTTTAAAGCTAATATAATATGCTATATATTTTATAGCTAATATAATATGCTATATATTCTATAGCTAAATTAATAATGTGAGTGCAATAAATATTTCTATTTCCAATGACAAGTATAAAACTAAATAAATTATTTCAGCAAACTTATTAAAACTTATTCAAGCAAAGTAAAAAAAAAAACTCTCTATGTTTTTATTGATGTACTAATATAGTGTGCAAAATATTTTATTAAAAGATGTTTAAAAAAGTCATTTAAAAACATGGTTTACATTTAAAATGTCCAAAATTGGCAGTTTTTAGGCAATAAAATATAAAATTACAATTTTTTTAATAAAATTATTGTTTTTAACATTTTTTGCTTCATTTGTGATCTAATATAACATACTTTTGAAAAACTTTTTTTTTTAATTTGAGACCAATCAAACCTTTTAAGGCCATATGACACCACTAAATTATAGAATATTGTTAAAAAATTTTAATTCGTAACACACCAATAGGAACATAATTAGTCAGTGTCTCAGAAGTTTAATGAAAAGTTTTTTGAGTACCACCCAAATTATCAGTCTGGTAATAAACTTGACCATTTTAAATCTAAAGTAGCTCTAATTGCTGATAAACACAACTCTATACTTAACAAAAAGGCATCACTTTTTGCTCGCTTTTAACAAGTAACGGACAATCAATTTGATCTCTCCACAGGTAACAGGCTTAGTAATTAGGGCTTGTGATTTATAACTTTATCAAAACTCAGTTTTTTTACTTCAATCAATAATTGCAATGCTATTGATATTTTTGTTGAAAAATGTCTAGTAACAGTCTCAGAGGCGATTTTAGGGGGGATCTGGGAGGGTTCCACTCCATTCTCTCCCCTCTCCCCTATATATGTTGAATTTTAAGATTTAATTGGTATTTTGATAAATTTTGTCTATAATTATACTCGATATTTATTTTGATATATTAATACCTTCAATATTCTTATTGATAAATAAAAAGCAACACTCTTACTTAGTCCTCTACTTTACATAATTTTACTTAATCTCTCATCTTGAATCAAATAACTTACTTTCTGATCATCAATATGGATTTCGGTCTTCTCGTTCTACAGCTGATGTGCTAACAGTAATAACCGATAGGTTTTACCATGCATTAGATAGAGGTGGAGAGGTTAAGGCTATCGCACTTGACATTTCTAAAGCTTTTGATAAAATTTGGCATGCTGGTCTTCTCCATAAGCTTTCTTCTTATGGTGTAGCTGGTAACGTCTTTAAGATTATTGAGTCCTTTCTTTCCAATCGTAGTATAAAAGTTGTCCTCGATGGACAACACTCTTCTTCACATCCTGTAACTTCAGGGGTTCCTCAAGGTTCAATCCTTGGCCCTATACTCTTTTTAATTTACATTAACAATCTTCCAGATATTCTCACATCTAAGGTAGCATTATTCGCTGACTACACTACCATTTACTCTTGTCATGATAAGAAGCCTACACTCTCTGATTGCTTGGAGGGGGTATCTGAGCTTGAAAAGGATCTCACTTCTGCTACAGCATGGGGCTCACAGTGGCTGGTGAACTTTAATTCAGATAAAACTCAATTTTATTCGGCCAATCGTTATCGTAATAATTTAGATCTTCCTATATTTATGAATGGTAATGTACTAGATGAGTCATCTACCATTCATCTTCTAGGATTAACTCTTACTTCTGATCTTTCTTTTAAACCGTATATCAAATCCATTGCAAAATTAGCATCTGCTAAGGTTGCATCTCTTTATCGAGCTCGACACTTTCTTACTCCAGATTCTATTCTCTATCTCTATAAATCTCAAATCCGTCCCTGTATGGAATACTGTTGCCACATCTGGGGCGGATCTTCTAATGATGCTCTTTCTCTTTTAGACAAGATGCAAAAACGAATTGTAAACATAGTTGGACCTGCTCTGGCAGCCAATCTCCAACCTTTGTCACATCGTCGTAATGTTGCTTCTCTTTCTCTTTTCTACAAATACTATAATGGGCACTGCTCTAAAGAGCTAGCGTCCCTTGTGCCATCTACTAAAATTCATTTTCGTGTTACTCCCCATTCAATTAAGTCTCATTCTTTTTCTGTGACTGTTCCTAAGTGCTTCAAAAACTCTTATTCTTCTAGTTTTTTTCCTCGAACATCAGTTCTTTGGAATTCGCTTCCTTCATCTTGCTTTCCTGATTCATATAATTTGCAATCTTTTAAGTCATCAGTCAATCGTTATCTTGCTCTACAGATTTAGTCTTTTCTCTTCCATTAACTTCCAACTCTTATAGTGGTTGCTTGCAGCCTTGTTGGAAGTGAAGATGTTAAAAAAAAAAAAAAAAAAACACATCTTTTTGGATTATCATTTAGTTCAGGCCATGAAAACCGTATGTACAACTAATTACAAAGTTAGCATCTGGTAAGGTTGCCTTGCTTTATTTTGCTTGTCTTACGCAAAATAAAGTCTTAATCTCTACTAATATATTATTTACTCTTAGTTGTCCTTATATGGAATCCTGATGTCATATTTAAGCTGGTTCATTATATGATAGCCTTTCTTGTCCAGACAAGGTCCAAAAAATACTGTAAATGTAGTTAGACCATATATATTTAGAATGTATCCTCAAAGCTGAAGCTACTATACAATCATAATAACATTGCATCTCATTACTATCATAGTCGCTGCTTAAATAAGTCATCATCTCAAGCTTCATCAACCGAAACTCATTCTCATTTATCAAAGTTGTCATTTAGTCATTCAGTAAAGTTGCATTCTTCCAGTTTACCTGTCCCTTTATTCTCTAAAAAATTTGATTAATCTCGTTTCTTTCCTTATACATCAATGTTTGTTTTCCAACTTCTTTTTTCGCTCTTTATGAAATATTTTTTGTTTGCTGACTTTTATCTTTAATAGCGGTTTTTTAAAGCTTTACTGAGAGTGAACAAAAAAATTAACAAAAAGTAACTCAAATGCATAATATTTATACATAATTCTGAAATCAAAATTTGATAATTTTTATTATATATTTTCTTGGTTATTTTGAGGAAAGTGAATAACTAAAAAAAAAATTTAACTCATAAAACAATAACAGATCTTAGGTATTTTAAAAAAGAAACATCCTCAAAAATTAAAAACTTACATATTAGACATTCTTCTCTTCTTATTTTTTCTTATTATTTTTTTGTTTTATTTATTTTTCTATTGCTGTTTTAGGTATATATATATATATATATATATATATATATATATATATATATATATATATATATATATATATATATATATATATATATATATATATATATATATATATATATATATATATATCAGGCTTTCCCAGGAAAGGCGTGCGGTCGCACGCCTTGTTTGTCCACGCATAGAATAAGTTTTTCAGAAAACGTGACCGCGGCATTACTTCGTAAGAAAGCGGAAATTATCCACAAAAAATAAAAAATAATATTAAAAAAATGAAACGAAGTCTAAACAAAGTATAAAATTGAAATTGGATGTAAGAAAAATATTTTGATAATAAAAAAAAATTAAAAAAAAAAAAATTCTTGTAACAAAAAAAAAAAAAGTCTTGAACATTTTTTTCAAAATTTTTATACAGTTTTTGTTTTCCTTTATTAGGGTTGCTATTTTCAGCTACGAAATTTGATACAAGTCAAGGAAAAGACGACGATAAGTCATAAAGTTTTCACGAAAATAAAAAGACTTCATACGTAATTTATTCACAAACTTTATCAGACAATGTATTAAAAAACTGATTCATTATTTACGCTAGACAAATTTGGTTAAACTTTTTCAGACTAGACAAATTTGGTTAAACTTTTTCATTTAATTTTGTTTTTACGAAGGTTTTTGCAAAGGCAATGACTTTATTCCCCAATACTTAGACAAGAAAATAAATTGCTGTTCTAATTATTAAATATATTAATTGAGATTTTAAACATAAAAAAATTTTAATGTGAAAAAAGTTCTTTTTCGACTTATTTAAAACTGATTATACTGAGTCAATGCTCGCCTTTTATTACGTTGAAATTATTCAATTGCATAATTTTGTAATTACGAAAGAAGTTAAAAAAATAATTGCATTGCTTCTGTTGAAAACAGAAAGCAACGAAAACAGTTTCTTCGGGACATTATTATATATTAACACTTGTTCACAATGTCAATTAATGATTGCAAAATAAGCAACTCAATCGTTTGACAATAAAATTTTCTTTCATTTAAAAAAAACAAACAACATATTTTACTAACAAATAACAATCGTTTTCGTGTTTTCTTGCGTATCAATACATTCAAACATTAAAATCAATACATTTAAACATTTAAATGTATTTACGAAACATTTAAAAATTGTTTATAGTTCTAGCGTGAATTTTAAAGTATTACTGACTGATAAAAGTCATAAACAAATTTTACATTAAAAGGTCCTTTTATTTTCTTTAAACATTAATCTTTTTCTTTTTGATTTGATTTTTCTTATTGATTTGATTTTTCATAGCTTAAATAACTACCACCCTAAAAAAATAAAAATATAAAATATAGGTAAATTTTTTTTTAATAATATACATTAATTTTTTAATTTTAAAGCACAAACAGATTTCTGTTATTTACTTTAAGATTGCTTGCATTTTTGCGGTATTTTCGTTTAGCTTTGTTTTGGCGCGAATTCTTGAAACGCATAATAATAAAACGTGGTCAGTTAGTCAGAAAAATTTATTCTATGCGTGGACAAACAAGGCGTGCGACCGCACGCCTTTCCTGGGAAAGCCTGATATATATATATATATATATATATATATATATATATATATATATATATATATATATATATATATATATATATATATATATATATATATATATATATATATATATATATATATATATATATATCACAAAATATATAGAAAGAATTAGAAAAGGTCACAATAATACTTTGCAAAACAAAACAAAAAACAAAAAAATTGTATTAGCAACCAAAGAAACGTCATATTGCCATAGAACCTAGAAAAGAGGTCCACAGAATGGAAATAATTTGTCAAAAAACATGGTATATAAACGTGTAGTTTTCTCTAAGAGTGTACCTAATAAACAATATATTGTCTAAAAATAAATATCATAATTAGCCTAATATATAAATTCTTAATAATAAACTTGTAATGTTTTTTGACAAATTATTTCCACAGAATGGAAATAATTTGTCAAAAAACATGGTATGTAAACGTGTAGTTTTCTCTAAGAGTGTACCTAATAAACAATATATTGTCTAAAAATAAATATCATAATATATATAAATTCTTAATAATAAACTTGTAAGAAATTTATATATATATATATATATATATATATATATATATATATTTATTTATTTATTTATTTATATTAGGGTGTGTCATACTTTGGTCAAAACTCAAAAATTCATATTTACCAGGGGCATTTTTTAAAAAAGAGTGAGGTTTAACATATGAAATTCAGAAATATCAAAAAATTTGAATTTAAATGAGTTTAAGCTACCAGGGAACTTCCTTGAAAATTGCTGAAAAGTGTGAAACTTTGATATTTTTATATTTTCAGGGTCATTTTCAATATTTTAGACTTATATCTGTTTTACAACAACCTTATCTTAAGAAATTAGTAATAAGGAAAGGAAGATAAGAAAGCAGGATAAGTAAAATTCATTTAATAGTTATACTGTTCCTGAAATTTTTATGAATACTTAAAAATTATTATTTTTTCAAAGTTTTGTGGCGTTAATTTACATCTCTTCCCCCCTATTTTTATTTTTGATTATGATAGAAAATTTTATGCTGATTAAGAATCGTATAAAAACATAGCTCTGAAAATTGAAGCAAAGTACTCTAATTTGATCTTAAAGTTTAAAAATTACTCTAAAAATTATTCACCATCTTTTTTGTACTCTGTTATGATTAAAATTCATTCAAAAGTAAACTTTGAATGAATTTTAATCATAAATTTAATAACATAAACAACCTGGTTTTTATTGTCAACAAAAAACGAAACCATTTTTTAGTAGCTACTGATTTAGAGATAGGCAAGGGCTTCAAGGAAAAATAATGATATAAATTGATACCTGCCCCAACCCTGACCCTTCGATGTGTTATCAACTCTCTTGCGAGTTCTCCCTAAATCAGTCGATGTATGTACTGAAGCCCTTGCCTATCCCTATATCAGTAACTAAGGGCAAGAGGGCAAAAGTTAACAAACAGAATTTTACGCCACTATTCTGCAACATTATCTTTAAAAGTTTAATTAATTTTTTAAATATAAAGAATAATTTATGTAAAAAAAAAAAGTTTATTTTTTAATTATAATTAATAATTGTATTTTTTTTTTAAACTAGGTAAATTTTAGCATCGATGAAAATAAAAACCGGGTTGCGTAATTAAAAATAAGATTTATAAAAAAGTGTTTAGTTGCATTTGAAAAAGATAGCAAATATTAGCGTTTTTTGTGTAATATTTTAAACTTCAAGATCTAATTAGAGTACTTTGCTTTAGTTTTCAGAGCTATGTTTTTATACGATTCTTAATCAGCATAAAGTTCTCATAATCAAACATAAAAATAGGGGGTAGAGATGTAAATTAGTGCCAGCTTTGTATGTAATTTAAGTTATACATTTTAATTGATGGTTCTAAATGGCTACACAGAAAATATCATTCTAAAGTTTTTTGTTTTAATATTTGTTATGCAAGTTATATATATATATATATATATATATATATATATATATATATATATATATATATATATATATATATACATATATATATAATTTTCAAAATTACTAGATACAAAGTATAATTAAATTTAAAATGGCTGCTGGATCAAGATGGAGAAATGATTCTTATCTACGCCAATATTTGGGATCTGGAAAAGAGTTGCCAACAGCTGAACTGCCAACACTGAGAGATGTCTTAAGATATGGTTATTTTTTAAGAGAAACAAGCAAACTAAACAGAAGAAACTATAGTAATTCTGATTTGATCCAGGATATTTATAAAAAACTTTCAGAAAAATGGCAAATGGCCAGTGTTTTATTTGTGCCTCCTGTAACTAGTTTAAAACATAATTTGGTAACAAGACTTAAAGTTGCATGGAACAAAGCTAACCTGATTTCTCAAAATAGAGCAAGTAAATTTATAAAACAAAAGTTTAATTTAATTATTGACAAACTATTTGATTTGGTGGAGTGTAACTGTAAAATATCTCTTTGTTCTGAGCAATGCTGTTCTACTGACTGTAAAGTTGGTGCCCACATTACCTGCATATGTCCTAGGGAGAGAAAAATACCAATAAATGAACTGGTTTATATTTAAGGTATGAGTGAATATATGAAAGTCACTATAAAAGTGTTAGTAAAGCAGAAAACCAGAAAACTGATTTCTTTGATTATTTTAAGAAGAAAATTTTATTTTAATTTGTCTGGTTGTAAGCAAATTGTTGTCACATTTTTTTAGCCCAACAAGAAAAGATTGGATCTTTAAGTTCATATCAATTTGGGCCTGCTGATTTGATGGAGTCCAAAAAGTTCAAAAAAGTACAAAGTTGCAAACGAAGAAGAGAAGAAGAAAAACAAATGAGAGAGAAAAACACACTAATCAAAAAGAAAATAATACGCAATACGAACAAGATAACGAACATGAAAATTATGAAGAGAAATCTAATGAAAATGAGATTTTTTTCTATTCAAAAGCCTTGTACAAAATATTTAAAAAAATCTAGAAATCATGAAGATCTCTATCTCTAATATTGCATTGGCCAGTAATCGATATGGTGTTGGTTTAAGAGCAACTGCAGCCATAGCTACTACAGCATGGGTAGATGGAGGACTTGTATCCCAAAGTGACACTAGTTTAATAATAGATCACAGTAAAGTTCGGAGAGCTAGGGATAAAGTCATGAATGAAGTTGCTGTTCAGTTTGATGATTATTGTAATAAAGAGATTATTGACTGCATATTTTTTGATGGGCGAAAAGATCTTACTAAAGTATTTTTAACTGTAGATGGATCAGACAGACAGTATCCAGCTAAAGTAAAAGAAGAACATTACACTGTTTGTTCTGGTGATGGCAAGTATTTATTTCATTTCACTCCAGCTAAAGAAGCAAAAAAGAACCATGCTGAAATTATAGCAGATAAGATTATTGAGTATACTGCAATGAGAAACATTAGTACACACTTAAAAGCAATTGGCAGAGGCTCTACCAATGTAAACACTGGTTGGGATGGAGGAGTAATGCACTTTATGGAGCTGAAATTAGGGCAAAAGTTAAATTGGATTGTCTGCGCTCTACATACCAATGAATTACCACTCAAACGTTTAATTAAATTGTTAGACGGAGAATCTAAAAGCGGTACAAAATAGAGTGGACCCATTGGAAGCTTACTTGATGAAGCAACCAATCTTGAAATTAACCCTTTTTTTAGTAGAGTGGAAACTTGTGAGCCTCTAATTAACTTGAGTAATGATGTGGTTAAAGACCTTTCAACAGATCAGTATTATGGCTATCAAATAGTTAAAGCTATACGCAGTGGTCATGTTCCTCAGCAACTAGGACTTCTGGAAATGGGCTCTGTTAACATGGCCAGATGGCTAACAACAGCCAATAGAATATGTAGAATTTGGGTCTCTCATCATGGTGATGAGAGACCCAAATTCTACATATGGTCTGGTATATGGTACATGGTCTCTCTTCAAGGCGATGCAGCCCAAAACCTTCTTAAACTAGTCGAGTTTATTGTAGGAGTGTACTTTCCTGTCTGGTTTAACATCAAAGTTAAATATAGTTGGACAGAAGGACCAAAACATGTTCTTTACCAGCTTAAGTTGCTTCAACACCAGTCACTCGATATTCAAAATATGGTCATTCCAACTATTAGGCGATCTGCTTGGTATGTCTTCTCTGAATCTATTCTTCAAACTATGCTTTGTTCTGAAAATAAAGAGGAGAGAGATTTCAGTGTAAACAAAATTCTTGAAATAAGAGGTGATGAAAATGTACAACTTGGAGATCTATCTGTTAGACCAAGAAGGACACCAGATATCAATACTAAAGCAATTTGTCTCAAGGACCTTATTGATTGGAATGAAGCTTTTGAACCACCTTTGACTTGTTGCATGACAACTAAAGACATCAAAGAGTATTTTTTTAAACCAATGATTGTATCAAACTGGTGTTGCCACACTCAAGCTGTCGAAAGATGTGTAAAAAAAGTTACCCAGGCTTGCAAAAATGTTTTTACAGAAAATAAAAGAGATGGTTGGATTAAAGGACAAGAGTTGTCACAGAAGTCGATGTCACGAAATCTATCTAAACAAAACCTTATTGGCTTGACAATGTTTAAGAACTAATCTTTATTCTACTTTATTTTAATGTGCCAGTAGATGTTTTGTGGATTTATATAAAAGTTTTATTTTTAATTCCAAAACAACCTAATTTTACAGTTTTAGTGGGAGGGGGGCAAACCACTCTAGTTGTTTTTATACAAAGAATTATATTTTTTTTTGAATAAAGATGACATTTTTTTGCGTTTTGTAAGTTGTTTTTTTTAAAAATACTTAAATTTTTTTAAGTTCATACCTCCCCCTCCCCCAGGGTTTTTGGTAAAATAGTGTCACTGGTTCCCTGGTAGCTAAAACTTTTTTTTTTTTTTTGTTGACGGTTCTAACTTGTAATATTATACCTCACCCTTTTTTAAATTATGCGAGTCAAAATTCAAAAAAAAAAAAGTATGACACACCCTAATATATATATATATATATATATATATATATATATATATATATATATATATATATATATATATATATATATATATATATATATATATATATATATATATATACATATATATGTATACATATAATTTTTATATACATATATATAAATTTTTTACAAGTTTATTATTGGTTATCCATATATTAGACTAATATAGATACCTGCTAATAATTAGCACTCAATCCTAATTGTAGATTACCTACTACAATGATAACCAATAATTATAATTAATGATTACCTTCTACAATGATTACCAATTATTAAATAATTAGTCTAATGTTAAAGATCCAAAGAATGGAAATAATTTGTCAAAAAACATGGTATATAAACGTGTTGTTTTCTCTAAGAGTGTACCTAATAAACAATATATTGTCTAAAAATAAATATCATAATTAGTCTAATATATAAATACTTAATAATAAACTTGTAAGAAATTTGTATATATATATATATATATATATATATATATATATATATATATATATATATATATATATATATATATATATATATATATATATATATATATATATATATATATATATATATATATATATATATATATATATATATATATATATATATATAAATGAATATATATATATATATACATATATATATATATATATATATATATATATATATATATACATATATATGTATATATATAATTTATATGTACATATATACAAATTTCTTACAAGTTTATTATTGGGTATCTATATATTAGACTAATATATAGATACCTGCTAATAATTGCACTGAATCCTAATTGTAGATTACCTACTACAATGATAACCAATCATTATAATTAATGATTACCTGCTACAATGATTACCAATTATTAAATAATTAGTCAAATGTTAAAAATTTTTAAAAACAAAAATGTATATATTAGCATAAAAGAATAGTAATAACAACGCTAATAATATGTAGTAAAAATAATGACAACAATAGAAATATAACAGATACAAAATAAAGTCAATATGCGATTACCCACATATTCCCGCTAAATCTAAAAATATTTATGTAACGATAAGTTACCGTTAACTTGAACATTATTTTTTTTTTTTTTTATCTAGGTGCCCCAAGAAGTCCTAACGGTATGTCACAGCGCACCGCGGAAGTGCATTTAACCAGAAAATTCACGCCTACTTTCTTACCATGACGCGTAATATGTCCAAAGCCTATTTCGAACTTGGATCTCCTGCTTATAAAGCAAGCGCTCCAGCCACTGCGACACGATCAGTGGTTAGAACATCGAACATGATTAACACGAACTTTATTTTGACCCGTTTAATGGGGCCAATGAAATTTTTTCAAATAAAAGAATTTTTTAAACTGAACGATTGAAAACTTAACCCATTTTTCCTACCGTTTCATTTACATTTTTTAAGAAATAAAGATGTAGAGACAGTCGAATACAACTACACATATACATATTATATGTTTAGTTGTAAACAACTACACATATAATATGTATATGTGTAGTTGTATTCTACGTCGGATTAGTAATTTGACAAAAGCGTCTACTATATATTACTCTCATATATGCATTAATATATGAGTAACTTATAACATAAAAACACTTTTTTAAACTTGGTCGAAAAATATAAAAAGAATAAAAATAATAATACAAAAAAAATGTAAGTGAAAAATATAAGCCTAACGCATTTTATTTTTTAAATATTTGAAAATTTTCCAAATAAGTCTTTATCCAATTTTATTTTTGTTTGAAAATTTAGGTTTGGTTTAAGTTTTCAAATGACATTATTTTTTTTTTTTTTTTTTTGACATTTGTTGGTCGTATTACAATATTATATTGCCAAAAATAAAACTTTTAATGATGTTTAGTGACTATGAAATCGTCCTTCTGCATAAACTAGAAACATACGAGGTAATAAACAGTAACCTAGACTGTCAGCTGCAAAGTTACCTTAAAAATAGAAAACAAGGAGTATCTTATGATTCAACGTGTAAAAAGTTAGAAACAATAAGATGTTGAGTTCTTTAAGGCTCTATTCTTGGACCCTTACTGTTTCTGGTTTATGTAAATGATATCTTTCCATCCTCAACCGTGCTTAATTTTGTTCTTTTTGCTTATGATACTCATCTTTATTATGCCCATTCTAATATAAATAAATTTTCTCTGCATTAAATTGTTAGCTGGAAATCTTAATGACTGGTTTAAATCGAATACATTCTTTTTGAATATCAATAAAACTAAGTATTTCTTTTTTTTCATCATTAATCTAAATTCAATGACCTCTGCAACTTTAAAAACTATAGGCGTTATGCAAAAAACAAAACATCTAGGAACTAAAAAATGTTCACTATTATTTTACTCCTGGTTTCATTCTTTCTACAAATCTCTTATTCTTCCCTGAAATGAAATACTGTTGTCATATTTTTGATTATTCTTTTAATGATGCTCTTTATATATGTCATAGTCCAAAAACGTATTTTAAATGTAGTTGAACCTGTTCTATCTGCTGAGCTTGAGTCACTCTCGCGTTTCTTAAGGTTGCATTTTTTTTCTAATATTATTACTATGGTCGTTGCTTATTAAACAACGAGCTATTATCTCTATTTCCTTCAATCAAAACTCATTTTCGCAAAAATTATATAGAGCAGATAGTATTGCTTGTGGGGCATACCAATTGTTAGGAGTTCTCATTATTATGCCAATCTTAGATTCGTTTAAAATTAAAAATTTTTACTTAAATTTTTTTTAGATTATATTCTTAAAAAAGACTTACTGCAAGACATAAATTATTACAAAACCCAATTACACGATTTTAAATTTTATTATTTACAAATTTTAATTTAAATACTACAAGAATTTAGCAATATAAAAAATATGCAAGTTGCAACTATTTAGGTTTTTAAACATTCTTTTACTAGAACAAAAAAATTCAATTTAAAATGAGAAAATACAATTAGCAACCATAAAAGGTCATGATACAAGGGGTCCACCAAGGAGTGGTAGTGGCCATTTTAGCCATGGTAACTATTAATTTCTAATTTTGATTTAAATCTGCCTCTTTATAGTACTCATTGTAAGTAAAACAATTTAAAAAAAATTGTATATAGTATTTGATGTTATTTATATAATTTATATATAAATAACATCAAAATGGAGGGCTCATTCACAAATAAATTACTTGGTATTTTAATAGACGAAAACTTATCCTGGAGAGATCATGTTAAACATATTAGCAATAAAATCTCAAGAAGTATTGGCATTTTATATAAAACCAGAAAAATTTTAGACAAATCTACGCTAACTCAACTATATTTTGCATTCATAAATAGTTATTTATCTTATGACAATATTGTTTGGAGTAGTACAAATAAATCTAAACTCGACTGTCTCCTTAAACAACAGAATCATGCAACACGCATTATTCATTTTCAAAATCGCTCAACAAATGCTAAACCTCTTCTAAAAAACATGAGAGCACTTGATATTTATGAGCTAAATATTTTCAAAATTACACAATTTATGTTTCAACATCAGTCAAAAAAAACGCCGAATGTTTTTGAAAATATTTTCTCTAAAACATTAAACCGATACAACACGCGATCTACCTGAAGATTTCAAAAACCATTCCGTACATCAAAATTTACGAGCTTTGCCATTTCCTATTGTGGCCAAATGCTATGAAACCATTTTACAAGCCTGAGTGGTAAATTTAAAGAAGCCAATACCTTTCAAAAATTACCTTTAATTGTAAATGGTTGTTTGAAAAAAATAAATAAATAAAAATAATATATATATATATATATATATATATATATATATGTATATATATATATATATATATATATATATATATATATATATATATATATATATATATATATATATATATATATATATATATATATATATATATATATATATATATATACATATATATATATAAGGAGATTTTACACTTAGCAACTTGACCATGAACTTAATCAGGAAACGCATCAAAGGAAGAACATATATTTTACCAAAGCTTTAGCACGTTGTTCTCACGTAGCATTTCACGTCGGATTTCACGTGGCATAAAAACTTTTTTGTATCAACGTTTTTAGCAAAGGTTTTATTGCAAGAAATAAGCTTGTATAACAAAACTACCAACCCAAAGATTACTAGCATTTTTTGCGACAAAAATAAATGTAATGTTTAAATACATAAAATTTATTTTCTAATTAAAAAAAAAAAAATATGTTAATTTGATATTTTACCCTTGCATATTCTGACTTTTATTTATTTCAAATATATTTGCAAGTTACTATCTATAATGTTTTGTTTTTTTTTAGTTTTATAGAAACGCGAGCAAAATATGATTTTGCTTCCAAGTTTGAAGTTCATTCTTGAAAAATATTTTGAAGGTCATACATGTAATTTTAATAGCTGTATTATCAAATCGAAAATTTATAAAATACAATTCATAGTTATAAAAAAGTTATAAAAATAACTATGGAGACGGCATTAACGACAAAGGCAAAAAGGTAAAAATTTTCACATTTTTTCACATTTTTTCAATTTTTTCAACGTTATTGACTTAAGTATTAACTTAACGGTAACCGATTGCTAATATTTGCAGTTATTTTAACAACAAGTTTGGCAAAATTTGAATTTAAATTTTTAAAACTTAGAAAAATTTTGAGACATCTTCAAACGTTGCATTTTTATCGTTAGAAAATAAATAATGAAGAGTAGGTTTGAACAGAAATTATATGCATTTGTATCCGAGAGTGTTTAAAAAAATAAAAAAGAATGTGTCCGGAAACACTCTTTTTTATTTTTTGACGCATGTTTATACAATGCCACATGTTTATACGCGGACTTTCGCGTATAAAGATGTGGCAGTGTTTTTGTGCTTGCGCAATTTAAAAATTTATACCTTATTGATAAAAAATATATATAAATTTCACTCTTAGTTTTGTCCGAAAAGGTTTGCGTGTTAACCTTTAATAATATGGTGGTTACATACACGTTCGTGGTTATAAACAAGTGATCATTATTAAATGAGTAAAAAAAAAGAATCTTTTATTGTCACGTATTATATACATCATAAACAACGATTGTCATATGAAAATACAAGGTCAAGTACACATTAAACAATTAACGCAAATACAATTAAATTAGAAAAAACCACATTTGGAGACAAAGCTAATGAATTTGGACAATGCATGATCTTTTCGTACTTGTGAATTGCGATCGGATGCAAAAAAAAAGTAATAGTATAATTTTATTAGCTGCTAATGACTTAGTGCTGTACACTGACTTGTACTGGTATGAAAGTTTCAAATAATTTAAATTCATCATAATATTCTTTAATTATGTTAAAAAAAAACTCTTTAAAAAACTCTTTAAAATACGTTGTGTAACTTGACATTGCAGTTTTAATAATTTCAAAATATGAGTGAAAAAAAAATTAAAAAAAAACAAAAAAACTAATCTAATAAAGCCCTCTTATTTTTAAAATTTTAAAAAACACGCTATTTAAACAGGAAGGTGGTCTTTTCTATTTGAGCAAATTACATCAAGTAATTAATGTTAATTTCCAAAAAGCCAATAAAAGAACGCATGCGTAACAAGAATTTCTTTTGTTCTAAAATAATTTGCGTCAGTAATAATTGATCGGTAAAAATTGCGCAAAAACATTCCTTAAGAAGCATCCTTTATAAGCAAAAATTAGACATCAACAATAATAAATGCTTTTTGCTATCATATTTTTATTACAATTGATATTGGTTTAAAACTTAAGATAGTTGTTTTACTTTATAAAATGGTTTGGACGCCGATCATGGAATTAGAAACGCCTCGAACACCGTCAGCTAACACTTATCACATTTTGAAAAATCATTCTTCTCATGTTCTGCAATACCATCCAACAACAGCTGCTTATCGCTTATACAATGGTATGCCTCGTTCGGATGTTCGCTACACGGGAACCGTTACGGCGCAATCTGAGAATTCAATAACAAAAACATTCTTAACATCAACTGATTCATCTGAAATAAACACTTTACCATCGCACTACGATAATATTCCTTCATATTTTTCTAGTTCATCAATTGTGCCTGTAGCACAAGCAAGTAACATTTCTGGGTACTACAATTCGTCTTGTTCCGTCAATGACGTATGTAATCAATGGAGTTACGGACAACCTGCTTCTATATTACCAAGCTACTCACACGGTTACGGTGGATTAAATTCTAGCTATCAATATCCTGACTTCATTCAACCTTCTGTAAACGGTATGCCAAATTATGGGTTTTTTTAAATATAAATTTTTGACATTTTATTTATTAGTGGTTTAGCCAAACCGTTTTTGAGCCAACGGTTTGATGAAGCAAAAGTTACATTTTATGAATATATTGTATACGGCACAAAAAATGTTTTATTATGTTTTTGTTTATGCTTTACGTAGCTATTTTATATTTCAGGTGTTCCATGGATGTGTCGTGAGTTTGATTCAAAACGAAAGCGAATGACTTATTCTAGACATCAACTTCTTGAACTGGAAAAAGAATTTCATTTTAATCATTTCCTTAAAAAAGAGCGTCGCACAGAGTTGTCAAAAAAACTAAATTTGTCAGAAAGGCAGATAAAAATATGGTTTCAAAATAGACGTATGAAGTTTAAAAAGGAGATGTTAAAAGGAACGATAAATGATTCTTCTATTGAAAATTCTAGCACTTTAAAAACTGATGTTTTAAACGAATAAAATAATAATTTATCTTTTTTTATTGTATATAATAACTCTAATGTAAAATTAACTATGATAGAAATAAAATTTAAAGTTTTGTCGTTATAAAAAATAAAGATATATATATATATATATATATATATATAATATATATATATATATATATATATATATATATATATATATATATCAAGAATTAAAAAAAATAACTGTTCTACAATTTTATAAAAAATGAAATTTTTAATAGCATATATATATATATATATATATATATATATATATATATATATATATATATATATATATATATATATAACTTTCTAGCTTTTTTCTTTGTTTATTGATAACGCATTTTTTTTTTTTTTGTATATTTTTTATTCATTTGTTTTTTAACTAACACATGAGCGTCTGGTATGCTTGCTGTAAATAAATAAATAACAAAAAAATTAACTATTCAAAAAATGCCTTTATTGTTTTTTAACTATAAACAAATAAAGAGTTCATAAAAAGCAATATTAAATTTATACTCCTACCTTACTTATTTTTATAGACTAGTTATCCGTAAACTTCTTGGTTGTTATATCCTAAGGTGGTGGTGGTGTGAAAAAAAAAGGGTTTGCCTACTATGGTCATAAAAGTACTGATTTAGGCCTTAAAAGTCCATGTTGGCTAAAATTTGCCCACTGCCAACAAAAGATCGAAATTTGCTAACTAATTTTTGATTAAAATTTCACAAGTGGGCTTTATCTATCCCATAATCACCCCCCCCCCCCCCTCTCTTTCTCTTTATAAAATCTATTCAAGTGCGCAACCTTTTCCAACAAAAATTTAAAGATTTAAAGATCTTATTAAGCAAAAAGACTACCTTTTGAAATTTATTTTTGCAACATTTTTTAGTTTAATAAAATTGTTAAATACATTAGAAGAAATAGTTTGCATAAAAAATATTTTTTATTTCTTATTCAAAAAATCCATAATGGCGAAAAATGTGTCAATTTTTTACCTTAAAATGACATTTTTGAAATATGATATCTTGATAAATCAAATAAAAAATTGAAAATTCTTTTGCACTTATGTATACTATTATATTATACTCCCGATGACCCTTGGGATTTGCATGAATCTTTTTACCCTTTAAGAGTAATTAAAGTTTTTGTGAAAACACTACTTTTTTTCAACTAATGTTGAAACAAATTTGCACATAAACTGAATTTTTATAAGATGTTAGGAGTTTTATGTAAAATCCAAGGGTCATCCGTATTAGATTATATCAAACACAAATTCAAAGTTTCAAGTTAAATACTCAGTTCTCAAGTTATCATGTTTTAAGTTATTAAGTTTTAAGAAAGTATGCAAAAAATTAAAAACGGAGAAAAATGCAAAACAAAAATAAAATACTTAAAAAATTAATCCTCTCCTCAGTAAGAACCAGTTTTATCTAAATCTACTGATTTATCTAGAATCTACTGATTCTTTTTCACTCGTTTTATCAAAAAATCTTTTTTTTTCTAGCTCGCAATCCTTTTTTACGTTTTTTATTTGCATTCGTGAACTTTTTATTCATTCGCTTAATGCGTGAATTATCTAACCTCTTTAACAATTCTATAACTATCCTCTTTAACTACTCTATAATAAATCTTTTCTCTATTTTTAGTTTCTTCATAGAAAAGTTGTAAGTACTTTTTTTCTAACTAAAGTATTAAAACTATTCTGGAAGGATACTCTTCTTCATTCCCAGTAAGTTTGAGGAGTACCACAAGGTTCTATCTTACCTATACTCTTCATTCCTAGTAAGTTGAGGAGTACTATCTTACCTATACTCTTCTTCATTTCCAGTAAGTTAAGGAGTACTGCAAGGTTCTATCTCACTTATACTATTCTTTATTCCCAGTAAGTTGAGGAGTACCGCAAGGTTCTATCTTTGCTGACAATCTTCCTTACAATCTTACATCTCAAGTGAAATTTGCTGACAGCTTAACTTTATGCTCTTATCTTAAAAGTAATTCACAATCAGCTTATTTATCTGTCTGAGTTATGTTTCTGACTTCAAAATATGATATTTAGACAGCTAAAGACATAGCAAATACAGCTTAGTTAATGTTTAGAGTAAAATAAGGCATATATTATGAGAGGAAAAGAAAAAATAAACTTCTGTTCATGGTAACTTGGGCGTTGCTATGGCCTCTGATGCCACAAAAGAATGTTTTAAAGTGTAAATATGGACCAAGAAATATTTTTTATTGTTTCCACTGTTAGTTGAATGAAAATAGACAAATCAAAAGGTGCACAGTTGACCAAAAGGGGTCCTCTTTGAAAATGACCCGAAAAATCCATTTGAGGGGTGATTGTATAGGTTATGGTGATCACATTGAAACAAAAATTAAAATCCTTTAATCACGTCCGCAGAAGAAAATCGCATTTAAAGTTTTTGCTTAATTTGCAATAAGAAACTTAATTTTCAAAATACGCTTCTACTGCTAAATGTCTTTAAAAAACTTTTTGTTTTGTCTTAAATGTTGAAAATATCTAAGCAAAATTGTATTAACTTATTTTTTTCCTTCTTTATTAAAAATTTAAATTTAAAGGCATCAAAATTGAAATATGTTGGCGCTAAGTTTTTGCTACTGAAATAATGTAAATAAATAAATTGGCATTTCTGTTAAAAATTAGTTTGTCTTTGTCAAAAAATGTCTAATTCAGCAAATGAACTCATGGTGATTGCAGAAACCTTTTTGTTTTTTGTATTTGAAGAAAAGTGATCGCATTTTAACTGATTTTTTGATTGAATGAGTCAAGAATATTTTTAAGTGTAATATTAATTTCAATGATGCAAAAATTCCAATTTGCAATTCATGTAGAAGCAAACTACAACAACTTAACTGTTAGTATTATTGGACAGATACCAGACTTGTACAATTTCAATTCGATTATCATTAACCCATCTACAAGGTATCCTGGTGCTTGCAATTGAATAACTTGTAGGATGGCCAAATCAAAGCTCAAAGAAAATCTGCCACAAATTGAGTTTAATATATTGAATCAAAAAACAAAAGTCTACCCTGAAACTGATCGTATCAAAGCTTTCAGTCCTATCACAGCCAGCTGAAAAAAGGCGCATTACTTATTTTTCAATACTTGCGAGAGAACATCCACATTTTTCTACTATAGGTACAAGGCGGAAAAATGTACAGAAACTTTCAGTAGAGGACCATAAGTGAGTTGAACAAATAGTAACTGGTTTAATCTCTCAAAAAGATGCCTCTTCAGGAGGTACTGTTAAGACACTATTAAACATCATACAAATTGAAGATGTGTCTTACATAATTTTATGTGACATGAAAGTAACCAACATTTTATGTGGTATTTAGTCTCACTATAACAAACACCCATGTTGCTAGTGTGATGTCGAGTCAAACAACCTTACAAGCTTGGGCTAATCAAAAACATTTAGTTCTTTATGCAACAGCTATGCTGGATTCCTCTCTTCAGGCCCAAAGAATCAATCGGCTAACAATTATGCAAATGTTGTCTATCCTCCATTAATTAACACCTACTGGCAATTTGAGCTTAATCTTGATGTAATTTCTTCAAAGAAACTCCATTTTTTTCATGGAATCTTCAACCATATTTTCTAGAAATTCTTTGAAATATGGGGTCAAGTACAAAAATAGTCGAATCTCTTGCGCCTTTAAATGCTAGTATATCATGGGGAACAGTTAAATGGAGATTAATGTAACAAACTGTTAAAGAATGTTGACATTATTCAGATCCTTGCCCAAAAGTATTGTGCACTGTAAGCAATGCCTTTTGTTGATTGCTTTAGAAGGCTTCTATCTGTTAGAAAAAACTTGTTTTGGAAAAATCTTGGACGAAGGATTCTGTCAAAATGTTTCAGAATCAAAGCATTCTATCCTAGCACTTGGAATTTTAGTGACTCCCAAAGCACATGAAATTACTCATCACATTAAGGAATTTGTTGGAAAAATGAAACTGGGATCGGAGTTTTCAGTGAGCAAATCACTGAATCGATGCATGCTAAATTTAAGATCCACTGGCAAAGATTTAAAAGGTAACTTTTTCATCCTGAATATGGGGACAAACTCCTCAGTTGTGTCATTGATCTTAACAGCAAACACATTTGAAATTAAATTGTTATGGATTAAAAAATCTGAGAAGCAAATCTCAGTCAAAGTTTTGTGTGTGTAATTACTTATTTTTTGTCAGAAGATCTACAGTCTTAAATTTGTTTACTTTGTAATTCAGTGTATATACATTTAGAAATATATGCACATCTTTTTGAAAAAAGTTGTATTAAATAGATGCCATGCTTAAGATTACAATTTTAATATCAATTTCTTTAAATTTTTTTTTCCTGCTAAGAAGTCAAAAGAAATTTGATTTCTTGGTAGGAAATCAAATTTCTTATAGGAATCTCTATTTTATATTGATATAATAGTATTGGAATGTATATACAAATATTCTTTATTAAAACGTAATTTTGAATCTAAGGGATATTAGTTTGTAATATTTGTAAAATTTAAGGCAAAAAAAAGTGTGTTTTTTTTTACTTTTGGCTGTGCAAACACTTTTTGTTAATATAGGTTTTTGGTGTATTTAGGCGGAAGCTTTAAATGCAATTTTCTCTTGCAGACGTAATTAAAAGATTTTAATTTTTTCTTTAAAGTGATCCCTATTACCTGTCGAATTACTATATAATTACTCCTCCAAGAGATTTTTTGGGTCATTTCCGAAGAGGTTAGAACCCCTTTTTGAACAACTATGAATAAAACTCCACCTTAAAAAAAAAAATCACAAAACTTTAGTTTTCGATCATTACTTGCATCTCTACCACCTTAAAGTGGTTCACCACTAAAAAAAAAGGCTTTCTCAAATTTTATTACTTCTAATTAAATAAGGTATTAGAGTATATATTATGAGTAAAAAGAGGGGGGAAAAAGTTTTATTTTGCAACAATTGTTTCTAAAATGTGCAAAAACATATAAAAAGGTTGTAAAATG